GACGCTTTCTTCGGTACGTTTTCATCCACCCATCTGCCCTCGTTTTGCATTCGAATTGAACCATGAATCATTTGATAGGGTAGACAAAAAGGGATTTATATCAACTGTGCAAGGCAATAACAATTCCATGTCCATGAGCTTGACCCATCCGCTCTCAGATTGATGAGTGCCATCCAAATAAGTGGAGCAAGCGTCTTCTGATACTATGGGCGACCAAGGTCCCCTCTCTGCTTGTCTGCAGAAGGTGATAACAATTGATAACGGGCGATAGGAGACCACAGACGACTAATCCTTTCCTATTCTCAACGGAGCACTGACTCTTTTCAAATATTAGCGGGTATTATTAAGATAGTGTTCGAACCACGCGCGGATGGAGAACAAAATGATAAAAGCTGATAGGGGGTGATAGGGGGTGATAGGAAGAGTTAGAACAGTAGGACCCCGAACTTTCTTCTTGTGCCAGTGTGGATGAAAGCTTGCCCTCACCAAAATTGTGAGGCCGGAATCACCGAAGGTGTTCCGTGATCCAACGATTTCCCTTTCTTTGATGTCAAAATCTTTTGCGGTCCGGTCATCATGGCTTAACCAAAAATTTGATAGCAATATTGAGTATTTGAGAAAAATTCGATTTTACAGCTGTAATTCAATAAGCAATCTGATAAAAAAATGTCGGAAGAACGTTGCGTGAATCTTTTCACTTCACTGGACGCGTTTTTATTGCAATTCTGCTTTTGTATTCTTCCACTTTAACAGAGAAATTGATTCAGGCACAGCTTTTCTTCTTCGACCAATAGCCCCATTACGGTAGCTACAGTAAGCAGATCATATTCTCATCAACAATATTTCAAACCCTGGTAAAGTAAAATTAAAAACAAACAGAGTGAATGCAAATGCACCCAGCAGAAGGGCCAAACTGTCTGGATTGCTTATCTTCCATGTCAGTCAAGGGAGGGAGCTCCCTACAGAAACCGTGAGACCAAACCGATGATAGATCGTTTACTGGATAGATGGGTGAACTGGATTCCAGGAAGTGGGTATTTTCTATCCTTGAGACCAAACCGATGATAGATCGTTTACTGGATAGATGGGTGAACTGGATTCCAGGAAGTGGGTATTTTCTATCCTGAACAACTCAATTTTCGGCTCGCCATCGGGTCGTTTTCACTCATGGAAACAAGTATTAGGACACATTCCCAGCACCGGTTAACGGAAGGAGGAAGAGAAGGTACAGAGAGACTAGCCGAGAGCTCTGTCAACGCATGTAAAAATGAAGGAAGTGAATGAATTTGGCGGAAATAGAACCCGATTTGATTCGAAGCTATACCGCTACTGCCCTAGTTCTCAGCCCACAAGAAACGCCGAGTTGTGAGAAAAAGTCCGAGACTAGACGATACTACAGCCCATACTTCTGTACGCACTTATCCATTATGTCAACAAAGACCCCGTAGTTCGCCTCAGTTTTTGAAGCACGATTACCGTAGCTGGTAGGTTGTCGCACGGATCATAGTGTATCAAGGTCGGCTACGCCAGCTTGGGAGACGAGCTTCTGAAAGCCATACCTGAGCTGAACCCGATGGTGAATTTTATGCGTAAAAGCCTTCCCAAGAAGGTATCGGGGCAAAGTTTGGCATCGCAAGAACCCATTGGTTGGTAAGAAATGTAGATCTCCCTCTCCCCGGGCTACATTTCGGAAGGTTCCCAGTGAAGAGACAGTATCTGTATTGGCACATTAAATAGACGAGTACTTTCTATGACTTTCGTTCTTCCGATCTACTAATTAATACGCCGAGACGACAACAGACTCAATGGGGCTGTCATTCTCGATTATCACCAGAATTACTGCTGAAACCTGTTCGCAAAAAGTTCAAATGACCTACCTGACAAGTTCCATGACTGCAGACGGCCCGATTACTTTCGGCTTGACAAGGTGCACCATCTGCCATTCGCCATAGAAAATGGCTTCCTGTCGTTCGTGATTTACATACAACTTCGCACTGCAAATGGTACTATTTGACATCAGAGACCACATTTGGGCTCTTTCAGGCTCGATCTTCTTGGACCGAGCTACTGGGACTGGGGGGAAATCAATGAGTGTCACTTGATATTTATTCCCGGAAGAGTCTGTACCCGTTGATATGGCTGGGGTGGGAATTTCTGTAGAATTTCAAGAAGAGGGGCATTAAATCTGGGAAATCAACTTCGAGTGGTGAAAGCCGCTGGTCAAATGTTATTTCGAGAAAAAAAACTCTTTAGTATGTTTAAAGGCACAGTTCACGATCATTTTGAGGTACCCCTTCTTAGCCGAAAAGCGGAAGTATAGATTGGGCATAGTTCATTGGTAGTGAAGAAAGTGAGAAAGTTCGCCGATTTTGAGGAAAATAGGGCTCCTCAAAAGTAGGAAAAATAGAGATTGTACGAAATTACCATGACGTAAACGACATGGAAGGGGTACTCGGACGAGATTTCGGTCATTGCAATTGCACAAAGAACTGACGACATAAAGCCAGATCTGTACGAACTGCCTTTTACTGCCGCTATGGGTCAAGACAAGTTGTTTGAACTTCCTACATGGGTTCCCTTGGGAACGGTGCGGCCTCTACAATTCTGGTGAAACTCGTCTGAGGGTACACACGAGCCAATCTTTGAGCCTTTATAACGCCCTCACCAGGCCATTTCCCGACATGATAGTGCCAGACATGGTATAGGAGGGGCCTCAAATTCATCCAATGGGGAAATCCCAGGAACCATTTTTATCGTGAACTGTGCCTTTAAATTCGTGTTAGAAGGAGGTGACGGTTTAGGCATGGGGTGATAGCAGCAGATAAACCTTGAAAAGACAGAGTGAAAGCCCCAAGAACTACACATTTGACCTTCATAATACCTTTTCCAACTCACTGCCATAGCCACAACTTCGCTTGTAAATCTTCTGTTCTCATCTGAAAAATCTAAAACTCTAAATATTTGAGAGAGCTTTGACTTCCTTCACTAGGATGGGTTTATACGCTCCCTCTACGGCACTTCGCTCACATCGAGTTTGAACCTTAGTGAGACTTAAGCAGATCGGAGAGTTGGACTCATCCTGGTGGCATAAGGCTGAATTCAGCCGAGCAAAGTGGGGAGTGTTGGGTAAAGGCGAACGTCCTATGTATGAGCCCATTTCTAGGGGCGCTTCGGAAAATTTTGTGAAGTTTATTGAATTTCTTTGGGATGGTCACGCTACAGTCAGTATACTGCTAAGAAATTTGCTTGCTACCGGCCTGCTTCCATTCCCCCATAATTTGGGTATCCACTCAATAAATGAACGACGGAACTCCCTTCCCGCTCGTCAACTTCGGCCGTCGTTCGCCGTTGACATTTTGAGAGCAGGAGTTATCATGAGAGATCAGTTAAGAACGCGAAAACAAGAAGGCCCTGCAAAAGAATCGTGGGATAGCATCCCCAGGGGATTGCTTTTACACATAGTTCGAGCTAGGGCAGTTGGAACGGCAATAAAATTACAAGTACACCCTAGGCGTGAGTACATTCATAGTTCTTCGCTGCCCTTTTACACTATCACGAAATTTAGTTTAGATAGAAGCCTACAGAGACTTTAGTTGTAAACTAAAGTGTAGCAGGCGTAGAACAATCACAGACAACACACACCACCCCACGACCTCCTCGATTTAAGGTTCCAATAAAGGAACATGACAAATCAGAAACTCTTTGTTCGGCTACTTTGTTCAGGAAGTATTTGATTACCATCGGTTGTGATAGGTTCTACTGTCCTTCACATCCCTTCGTCATTGTTTCTGCACAGGTGGACAACCAAATTACACAGTGACGTAAAATGACGTGTGTTGTCCGTGACTCTTTAGGGCCTTACACATTACTTTACGGCTGGTATTACTGTAAGAACTTGGGGCGGCCTGCACTGAGCTTACCATTTCAACACTTTCCCCGACTGTTCTGTGCGGGGAACTCGTAATTGACGGAAAACATACCTGTTGCTTAGAAAGAATCTCTTCACCGCCACATACCGTTTCCCGTGATGTCCGATGTAGGGTGTCACATGCCTGAAAAAGAAAGCCTATGATTTCCTCCCATGATGAGCTTCAGTGAAGTGAACTTTCATCTGAGCTCTCTGGAATGATTTTCATGGACTTCCATGAATTAGTAGAGATTCTAGGGTGTCCGGAGATGAAGATCTACGCGACGTCGAACACCCCAAATTATCGGCCCCATGCAGGGCTCTAATTCGAAGCGGCGGATTGCTCGAACGGAGTCGCACTTTGTGTGAAGAAAAAACGAGAACGATGGCACAAACTTATTGGATCTTCGGGCTCGAAACCTGGGCTTTATCGAGGGCTCAAAGCAACGGAATGCACCGTTCCATCACGACATACCCTTAGACTTTGAAGGAAGAATTAAAAGGACAAAAAGGAAGGAGTTCATAGAGAAAAAGTCTGACGAACCTTTTCATTACAGACCCGAAATCGTACCGAATGTCCAGAGCATTTGATGTCAAGACATCGGCGTAATTGTTGCGACACACCACCACCGCACTGAAATGAATCCATTTAGTTCAAGGTCCACTTCTACCGTAGAAGAGCCTTCTGTAGAAACTGTCTATCTCCCGGAGGGGGTAACGGTGGAAAGGCTTTGACGCAGGCTGACCACCATGGAAGCGACCATAAGGAGCCCCTGGGAGGAATTGGAGGGATTTGAGTTATAGAAGGGCCTCGCAGGAGCTAGAGTAACAACAGAAGGTGTCCTAAATAGAAGTTAAAGGGGGAACTCAAGGGAAACGCGGACCTTACAAAGGCCCTAGACTAGCGAAGGAGAAGAACTAGAAGCGCTGCCTGGTCAGCTCTAACCCCTCGAAGCCACTACTGAAAGCTTGACTTCATCCTGTTTCGAGGCAAGTTCACGATAAAAATGCTTTCTGAGATTACCCTGTAGTATGAATTCCAGGGTCCCCCTTATACCATACCTGCCTATATAACGTCGAAAAACGTCGTGGATAAGGCACAATAAGGGGCCAGAGATTGTATCGTGTGAATACCACACCCATCGTGGACGAGTTTCAACGGCCTTGTACTATCTCAAGAGATTTCCTAGTAAAAAGTTCAAACAACTTGTCATATCCCATGGCGACGGCTAAAGGCAATTTCGGATAATTTTGGCTTGATGGGGTCAGTTTTTTGAGCAACGGGAGCAAGTTAAATCTCTTCCAAACACCTCTTACTTGGCATTACCGTCACGGTGATCTCGTACAACCTCTACTTCCACTACTTTTAAAAAGCCTTGAAGTGGGTAAATTTTCTCCCTTCCTCCTCCACCGATGTACTCCTCTACACCCACACTTCCACCTTTCTACCTGGAAGGGGTACGTCAAAATTATCGTGAACTGTGCCCTTAAAAGGTTGAATACGTAAAAATTAGGCTTCACGTTCTCCGGCATAACCCTTTTAGGAAACTGCTGAGAAGGTGTTCCCATGAAGTGATCAATTACCCAAAGCTCCAAGTAGAAATTGAAAATGTTTATTGGGAGTTGAGAGGTATTCCCATCCAAAAGAGTAAAATGGAGTGAATAGTATTGGCTTCTCCATATCCGTGAAGCCCCCCTGGATACTCGCCACTCGAGAAAGTAGTGTTTTGCGAGTATGTTAGTCCCTGGCACAAAGCAAAAGCGGCTCCTATTCATAGCGGCCTCTCCCCACACGACCACTTTTTGACCGATTCATTGTCTCGTAAGGAGCAGCGTGTTCAGGGATGCGTAAAGAGCCATTGAAGCACACATACACACACTCACCGTCCTCGAGCAGGCTGTCCACGGAGACCATCCAGCCCATCCGAGCGCTGATGTCAATGACCACAACTGAAAAAAATACAATTGACTCTAGTCGTTTAAGAATTCCCTCTTACGAATTCCATCAGGTATTTTTTGCAAGTGACTAATCTCATGAAATGGCCACAATTCGTCGCACGGCAGCCGACTGCGTGCCTCGAGGCGCCCTCGACGGACTCTTTTGTTCGGCCTCAATGTAATGGCCACCTAAGACAGCCTGAGCATGCATCAGGAGCCATTAGAAGTAGAGTCCCGTACTAGTACAGTTATGGTTAGTATCATAGAGTAAACCAGTCAAGATCTCTTAGATACTTATCTGATAGCTACCTCTCAGGAAAAAGAAGATCGCCCTATCCGATGTTTTCAGAGCGTGAAAAATGATAAAAATACCTGAATGCTCACGGGACACCTAACCCCTACCTCTTACATACTCTGGCTATATAGTATTCATTCTGTGCGTTCGGATAGAGCTCCCGAGCCCTACAGGGGAAAGGAGTATACTACGAGTGTACAGTAGGGTTATTCGAGTAAATGTATTGAACACACGCTATCCTGGACATTGTTAGAGGTTGAGGTGCGAACCCTTTATGACTTGGCTCTGATAGAACTCATCCTCCAAGGGGGAATCTGGTCACTACTCTGCTGAAACTCATCGCATACAAGTCAAGTAATTGCCTTCAAACCCCTTCCAAGCGATTCAGTGTCATCCTACATTCCATTGTTCTTATGGCGGAACCGAGAAAGTCGAAGAAGAACGTTGATCTGGTCTTCCGGCTATTATACCATGAAACCTCCGGATATGTTATGCATATACAAGTGAGTAGTGCTCTTCCGTAGTATTTCTATGGGATCTTCCACTGCCTTACTCAAAAAATCTGGACTATCGAGAAAATTCCGGCAGTTACTTCCAGTACGGGTTAAAATTCTGGATCGATATCCGTCTAGACCAACCAGGCCTTCCATCCCTCCAGGATCTGTTAATTGCTACCAAACTGGTCTTGAGTAGAAAAGCACTGACTTGACTCATTACGCCATTAGGATTCTGAATAGAAGTCGACAACGTAGGCGCATCCTTCAGACGGGATTGAAAAACCCTCCAAGACTTTACCCTTTGGCTTCCAGTACACCTTAATACGATGCTGTTACCGTTTTTGCCCTGAATTCTGGTTTGATCGTTCTTGTTCCCGTGGAAGATGTTCTTTTCTGTCCCTACGACGATAATGATGTCTTGAGTGAAGGCGTCGGCAGCCGTACGTCCGCTTCGTTATTACTCCCCTGATAGCAATTCACACAGCTTTGTGAAGACAAAGAACTAGATTTTACGACGATTCACCCACCATATACGAAATGTCACATGCTAGCTGCGAAACAAACATACTGTACTTGGGAAAATTTTTTGATTCAATTAGGAATTGAAAAGGGCTTCCCTGATACTCTTCGACTACACCAAGAAAATCCCTAGCGAAAGCTGACTTCCTACAGAAACTACGTCAAATACTACGAATGTAGTCAGAATAGACAAAGTGTAATCTCAAACATCAAAAAGTGCCACGATGTTACCCTGGGAAAGGAAGCAGATAACGAAAATGGCTCAAGAAACAGTTCCTGGATTGACTTTCTACCCTCGTCCGAATGGGGAGCTTACAGAGCAAGGCAGAAGCAGGAACAGTAATTTTTCGATTGGGAGTCCCTTTTAACCCTCCCGGCTAGCCAAGAGCTTACGAGCAATGCACAGGCAGGAACAGTAACCTGTCAATTGGGAGACCCTCCTATTATAAATCAGTGTAGAAACGTAAGAGGCAGCCGCAAAAGGTTGTGATTCGAGGCCGTTTGCATAGGCAGGTCCATATTATTTAAAAACAGGACAACCGGAACCCGCAACCTTTAATGGCCTGCGGGCCTTTAGGACATGATCCAGTTCATAGAGCATACAAGTGTTACTACAGTACTCAACATCTGGCGGCCTTGTTCGGCTCTACTCATCCCTAGTTTCTTCCTCACTTTAACCCTTTTTTCTCTTTAAATAAAAGCAGTAGACCTTTTATTTCAACTATATCGGATCGTCATTTACAAGCCTATTAATTGGCATTTTGGTGTTAGAAATGAAAAAAGACGTGAGTTACCTGCGTCAGACAGAGAAACCGAAACAGCATCACTTGACCATCCTCTGCTCGTTGTCGCAATTGTATCTGAAAGGCTCGTTTTCCTCGAAGTAGCCAGTTCAAACGAATCATTTCACAAACGGACTTGAAAATGAAAACGAGCAAATAGAAAGGATCACGAGATAGCATATCTGGAAGGAATCAAGAAACAGAAGAGGCAAGAAGTAGCTTCTTTCTGAACAATCACTCAATCTAATGGTTCTCGTAAAGACACTTATTCTCTCCGTATTAGATTGGCAGATAAAGTGGATTCCGTTGGTCCGTGGAGACAATGTTGAATTGGACAGTGATCTTTGGATTGCTAATTTATTGTCATGGAGTTCAAAAGACCTTGATGGGGGATTCAGGATGATTGTTCTAACCAAGCTAAGTTGGGCCTGGTGTAGCTACGAATTCACACACGGCTGGATCCGGATCGATACCCGCCCAAGCCAACCGAGGTTCATCCCTTCAGGGTTGGGCAATCGGCACGCACCAGATTTGTCAGGAAGGAAAGAGCTCTGAGCTTCTATTTCCAGTTATGAGATGCTGCTTTTTACAGCTTTGCTAGCTACATCAGCAAC